TTTTTTTTTTTTTTTTTTTTTATTGCTAATTAATGAAATACTGATCGACGATGATTTTGAACATCAGTCGAGTTACGCACCTTTACGAATGTATATTTCAAACGCCATGAGATGCGTTTCTATTCTATCTGATGCCAGGTCTTGCAAAGGTTGTAGAAATTTGATTGCCTGCTCGAGAGGATCCTCGACCTGAAAATAAAATCATTCAGTTCGAGTCAGATCAATTCCCCGTTGTATATCTCGGCGACAAATCAAAACTCGTCGGATTTGCACCGACCCTTTCCAGTTTCTCCGGTATAAGTTCGTCTAGCGTAGGCTGTTCTAAATCGGGATCGGTTTGTTGCCGTGACTTGTTGTGCTGTTCTTTCTTCTCTTGCGCTTGGGCAGCCTGCTGCCGCTCCAGCTCCGCCTTTCTACGTTGTTTCCTCTGCTTGTTTCTCAACTTTTTCAACTCTGACGGCGCTAGATTCTCTGCGAAAGAAAAAGAGCATCAATCGTTAAAAAACACTTGTTTACAGCAAATTTAACAAATTCTTAAAAATTATATTCACTGTCTCTCTTAATTCAATATTTCTCGTGCACGTTTGAATTTTAATCGTGAGGCCAAGAACCATCTGTTGGAGAGGATAAATTCGTTCGAGTGACACAGTGTACAAAGTTTTAATTCCTCGTTTAAAATCTACGAACTCTTAAACGAGAACTTCGTAACAGCACGAGGAAATATCTACGATAACAGCCGATTGCTCTGCGAGCTTAATATTGAGCGATAAAAGAAAAAGTCGGCCTTGAGGATAATTATCGATAATTAACCCTTTCGGTACGAGCGCTCTGTCCGCCGTGATAGATACACTCGCTGTACGAAAGATTTTCCTTAACGTTAAATGAGAACTGTGCTTAATAAAACAATTAGTTTCTTCTAACAAATGTCGTTAGTTTTAATATTAAAAGACATTTATATTAAATTCTGTTAATTATATAAGTACACACAAGTCATCTGATGGATGCCGGATATATCCTGTGCTCGTACCGAAAGGGTTAATTTAGAGCGTGGCAAATAGTTCGAACTTGTTGTCGATGAAGAAAACCGGGCAATTTGTATATGAAAAAGAAAAGAAAAGAAAAAAAATGAATAATCTCTCTGCGTTGAAAAGAAATCAGGTCGTTTTTCTAGAATGTCGCAAGATTGAACATACTCAGTTGAAGCATGCTAAATTTTAGCCAACTATGCCAAGTTTCCGAAACTTTTTATGGAGTATATCTTTCCTTGAAGTGGCTTGGATTTTCAAGCGTACTATCCGGCGTAATATCATCGTAATTGCGACAATGGTGAATAGGGGAACGGTGGAACTGTCTCCGGCGTCGATTTCGACACGCCATGCCACGCCACGCCACTTTTACTAGGCTGCTGGAGAGCTGCGTCGAGCCAAGGTTAAGCGGTTCCGCCGCGTGGCAAAAGCGACACCCGGCCAGTTTCGCAAAGCCTTTCCTAACTTTTTCCTCGCCTCTCTGGTCGTGTGGCCAGACCTACTGACAGCCGTTTCTAGGTCTGGCATGCGTGCACGTGTCACGCGTGCACCGCGGTCACGTGCAGCACAGTCCAGGCTCTCGCTTATTGCTGGCCAACCTCCTGTCCCTTGCTCTGGTGGGACGCGATCGCGCGACCACGATTTCCATCGTTTCCGAACGATATTCGTTGCCTCGACTTTTCTGACAATCTAGAAATCGCGAGTATTCGAATCGTTGTACGAGGCCGCCTCGAATTTAGACGAAACAGTACCCTCCAGTTTGAAATTTTTTTTCATTTCCTCAGTTCATTCACTCGATGCAATTCAACCGAGAGACGAAATCGTAGCAAACACAATGTCTAATCTATAATCAGAATGGTCAATGTTTGACGCAATGCATGTATTGCTTCATTGCATAGATGATAACATCGTTCTTTTCGTCATTTTCTCCAAAACGCAAGATCTCTATCGAAAGGCATTTTCTCTTATTACAGTTTAACGCTACTGAATTCGTAACATTTGAACTCGAGTGAACAGAGTGAACCAAAAGTCCGTAATTTTTTTTTTTTTTTTTTTTTTATCACGTATTTTTCTCAAACGTTTGAAAGAAACAATGTTTCAGACATAGTGGAAGAGAAACTCATGTCACGAAACTTAAATTTAATTCGAGATTAATTAAAATTTCGATGTTTTATTAGAAGTAATAAGGAAAGTTCGCCGATAAATTCAGATAAAATTCAAGGGCAAATTAGAATACGTGATTCTGCATCGCAACGAAGGGACAAAGATCATCACGCGAACAACGTGTCGGTGGAGACGTTCAAACAAGAACGTCCAGAAATGTTGGTTGTAACAAAATCTACCGCTTCGCAACGGTACGAAGATTCCTGGCGAAACTATTACTTTTCTTTTTCCAACTGTAGATGAAAATTCGCCCGGTGCAATCGATCACGCTGATTTACAATTAATCGTGGAAAGTACTGTCCGAGGCACAGTCGGAGTTTATTGCGCTAATTCTCCTACACTTAACTTGCTCAGTGGGCATTAACGTTTTAATTACCGGCCTATTAATGCAGTTTTATAACACGAAAATCACTCGCGCGCTTTCCAATTATGTAA